GGAATGTCTTTATACGGCACTGGTGACAATAAAATTATTAACCACCTCAGGCGTGAGGTGGCTTATAATTTTATTGCTACCAGTGGCATATAAAAACATTCGTAGTTTTCTTTTTTTTAAACCAGTTTTGGGCTTTTGGCATGTGGGCATTAGTAGTTTTGTATTTGCATGGCCCTCTGGTTGAAGGATTTGGGTCTCGAGCAGAAATCAGGTTTGTCGTATTTTTATGTTAGAAAAAGCGAGAATCGTAAATTTAGCGCAGACTCACATCCAGAGGGCCATGGTATTTGTACCGGTGCAACGTGAACTGTTATTGGCCAGCTATGAATAGGATTTTAAAATAATATCCAGTTTTTGGATTCTTAGATTAAGAGTAAAGTAACGAGTTTTTAATCTTATAATTTCGCTATGATTATTGATTTTTTTAATATTATTTAAAATGATGAATTGATGATACACAAGCTTTTTTGCTTTTATATTCATAGCCTCGTGAAAATTAATAGACTTTATAAATATTATATATATATAACAACAAAATAGATAATAGTGAGTTGCACATTCAGGCTTCAGTCAAAGCATTCGGTAATCAGTACTAATTATTCAATACGTGATCACTCTATTCCGACCACAAAATATAACCAGAGGCTCAAGGATAAACTGCATACAAGTCTGACTTTGAAACCACTAGTCGCCAACTTCCAAATCTAACAGCCGCCTGCTTCAGATCCACTCCAGAGCAGAGGGCAGACACAAGAGACAAGAAGAGAGTGGCACGTAAGTGAACGGCAAACAATAGACCGCAGCATTAAGCAGGACGGCAAGTGGCAACCAATGCAAATACTCATTGTTCCGTTTTATGAGGGGATATGAAATAGTAGTATTTTGATTATGTACTGATACCAAGCAAATTATGTAGCATAGTGCAGACACCTACTGATATTTTAAATCTTAAAAAATCGATTGTCACGATTCAAATCTTGACATGCCAAAAACATAATATACGTAGTAGAAATCTGCGAATTATCGAATTAAACATTGTCCATATTAAAATTTAACAGCTTCTCCCATGTATCTCGTGGTATTTCTCCTCATGAGTAGCAATTTATTGCACTCACATGACATGCATCAACCAGCGATGTGATTGGGAGAATCTATTGAACGACACGAAAGATCGGTTTGCTAAAAGTAGTACATACCAGTGAGGAACAGTCAAATATAGAAAAGGCACCACGGATTAAAAGCATATAAAAACCACGGGACTCTTTCCAATCCAACTCGTTGAAGTACGGCAGGAGTTGATATTGGAATCAAACTATATAAACAGAATGCTGGATACATTGATAGCTCACACACACATACCTTGTGGAGTGTTACTAAACTGCAGCTACATACACTCACGTGAGCTTAACAACTTCGAGCTAATTTCACCCAGCTTCAAAGATCGCATGGAGAAAGGTCAATCAAGCTACATCTATAATGACTGTATTGCAACCATACGACTCTGGTGACAGCAGTACTGAGATAGAGGGTGCAAAAGTTGATGCGGTGCGTGATAGTACAAAGCCCAGTACGAATCCATTTGGTCAACCTCTCGATAGCATAAATGAGACTTTTCTATCCGAGCACGAGGAGTTACTGATCAGTTGGGACGATGTTGCAATCAAATCTGAGTTAGCTTGCGGTGCATATGGGACTGTCAGTTCCGGACTCATAGAGAGAGATGAGTTGATTGTGTCTGTGGCAGTTAAAGAACTGACCTGGCACAGCTTGAGTGCTACAAAGGTTTCGGATTTTGAGCGTGAAATTGTAAGTTTCTGAATAATCTGCTGAACAATATATTACATACTTTTGCATAAATCAACATTGTACTTCAGCTATAAAACTTCTTATTGACAAAAACGTGTTACCTTCAGCTCATTATCACGCCATTTATTGCGTTATATATTGCTCATTCCGCCTACTCTATCCTCGTACATATTAGGAGATTGTTCTGAGCTTGGAACATCCAAATATCGTGGTGACTTTTGGTGCATGTATATCTCCTTTGGCACTCATCATGGAGCACTTGCCTTTGGGTGATCTCCGAACCTTCCTTCAATTACGGTGAGGAAAATTGAAAATCAGCACTGGAATAAGTTGCTTGCGATACGCTCTATATTTTTCTTCTAAACACGTAATGCTCAACTAAGTGTATACTAGCTTTGGTCTCCCTAGTTTAACTTAATTATGATATATCTAATTATATTGTCGTTTTATTCAAAGCAGTGATGAGGAAGGGCCGGTCACGACTTTGGAGCAGAAGCAGTATTACGCTTTTCAGCTGGCATCTGGCATGAATTATATCGCAAAACATGGGATTGTGCATAGAGACGTGGCCGCTAGAAACTGCCTGGTATGTGCCAAATTAGCTTATCCAGCCAATTATATAAATATCAATATAGTCAGCGATCAGTGATGGTGAGGGCGGTGTCAAAGCATGGGGTTCTTCGTTGACTGACAACTCGCAACTGACGATTGCATACCATACTTATAGGTTGGCTATCCATCAGTATCGTCCTTTGGAATGCATGTTCTCAAAATATGCGATTTTGGATTGGCCCGTGAATTGCCGTTGCAGATAGGAGCTGATGGTGAGCCACTCCCCTACATTCAGGGACGATCCGATGGTGAGTTGAGTATTAATTGTGCGGACCCTTTTCTATAGCCAACATTTATACGCCTTATCTATTGTCAGCTCTCGTGATGTTTGTCGTAAAATAGGACTGCCACTCTGTGTAATAATTCGCAAATTTTATCAAGTACACAAAGTTTGTCTTCAAGATGTACCATGAGCTGAGTACAAATATATAAATGTAACAAAGGGCCGCATATATTCTTCACAACAATCGCTATAACCTTGAGAAACAAAATGCGTGGTTTCACTATTCATCCTGTTTGTTCAGTACTAGGGATATAATTGCTTTCCTGTTGAACACGGTTGAAGCCATGCTAAACTGAAAACCGCACTAACGTCCAAAACATGCAGAAAAAATACCGTTCCGATGGCTAGCGCCAGAGGCTTTGAAATTCAATGAGGTATGAGGGCTGTTTCACTAGTTGTGTAGAGTCGTGTAACAATCCATATAGGTCAAGTATGTGCGCCACACGGTATATATTTTTTTCTTTTTTCTTTTTTTGACGCGTCTTTTACGTATACACTCGATTCTTTGAGACTTTGGCTCACCCGTTCATCGCTGCAGTTTTCCACTAAAAGCGATGTATACGCCTACGGAGTCACCGTGTGGGAAATAGCGATCGATTGTTCAGCAGAACCATACCAAGATATGGATCTCTCGTCTGTGCGGACTCGTGTTTCAACTGGAGGTATGTTGAATACTTACAATACCTGTCGTCGCAATCGCCTCTCGTCTGAACAGCGAAACTGCTGTTGATGGTTCTATTTAGCAATTTAGCGGTATGTGTTGAGAATCTACAACTCATGCGACGCATGTAGGTTTCGCCTTTTATTCAACAAGGCATTTAACCGCAGCCAATTTGACAACCTGGAACTCCAATTGAAGTGACCACACACCATGACTTCTAACAGGTACGTTGCCTCTGGACTACATCCATCCAACACTGGCTACGGTAATCAAGGGTTGCACACAAGCATCCGTTGACCGTCGCCCAACCTTTCTGGAGATGGCGGAGTTGTGCGCTATTGAGCTCAGTGAAAATCACAGCTTCAACGATATCATTGCTCGGAAGGTATGTTCATCATTCGTTTGTATGTAGCTTTTGTTCAAACATATTCCATTACAATTCACCTTTGTCACTGTAACAGTCACCAAATGCACCAGCATGCTGTCATTATTGGTACAGCTTTCTAGATAGGCAAATGAGGCTGCAATTCCATGCATTCATTGGTGTGGAAAATGCACTGTCAGCAGTGTGTGGATGGATTTCATTTTGGTATTGGTGTTCACGATGCGCGACCAATCCAATTGCGAGCAAAGCTAACAATCAATGAAACACTTGAAACCTTCCTTTAGTACACAGAAAGCGGCGATATCATTCTGGTCCGTCCAAAGCCCGGTCTGTCTATCCGTCCGTTGCCTCCAGCACCGCTTCCATCTATTGGATCTGCTGATGAAATTATCTATGAGACTACCGACTCTACGGATGACGTGGGACCGCTGAGAATGTGTAATTAGACCCATGCGTATATTTGTGTTTGTGTGTAATTACGAGCTTGTCGGTGTACGTCATTCCGTGTACAAAATTGAACAGATAATATATCATTGCAAGTTTGCAATGTCTGGAGTTCATATTTTTATAAAGAAAGCTTTAATCTGGCATGCACTGTGATTATTGGGATCACTCGTCGTCACTACTGACAATCTGACAATAATTGGACGAAAGATTCCTAATTCCTACTTTATTCCTATATTTAACAGCCAGCCGATATATTGGGATGCGCGGATGGTTCTACGAAGACAGTCACATGTACTCTAGTTCGATTATCAGTGGCAAGGGTGAGTACACGTTGTGGATGCGTTCCAAGCAGTGTTAATCCAACGGTGTTTTGTACATACGCACAACTTCCAGTGTTTGCATTAACCACGTGTGCGGTAGCACTAGTAGGCCACTATCCCCTGATGCTCAATACTAAAATATCAAGTTATGTGCCCGTTATTATCCCTTCACGTGTTCTCTACTAGGTCCCGTCGACCGACATGTGAGCTTCAACAGTGTCAATTGTGACAGTGACAAAGACAGCGGGGTCAGAGGACTCCACAACCTCAATATACCAATAAGACCAAGCAGAGGTATTGTAAATGCCCGCTATATGTGGTGAGTACGTGCAACAGGCGATTTCAATCAGTCTCTTGATACTTACATTGCTATCTTGTATCATTAAGACAGAGAACTTGGAGATGTGAATTGTTGCGTTTGAAAATTGATATGACAATAATGAAAAGTAGTTGACGAACACGTAAGGTGCTCTTTGTCGCGCGCCGGTCTGTTTGCTAAGATTTACGAGGCAACATACATCTCGACCCCATTACTTAGAATTTCGTGTGCTTTACAACATGCAGTCAGATAGACATTAAAGTGGACACACGTTGTGCATAGCAATATGTAACGTTAAATATATTTTACACCTCGATATTCTCTTAGCTTGCACATGACTTCTATAATAATCACAGGCGGCTGTGCCGGCGTGTGGGAGAATCCGAACAGCAGAAAACGCTTGCTCTCTGCAGGTCTACTGGCTTTGGTGCTTTTATTGATAGCTATTATGCCTGTCCTGATTTACTTTGTAGTCATCCCTGCTTCAAAGGTGGGTATTAGTAAGTATGACACGCCGCATATTCTGACACTTACTGGATGATTTGATTGTAAATATCAACTTAAATGTGTGTTTGCCGTTTGGTGAGAATACTTCTGGCTTGACGTTTTGTGGTCAAACATGTGAAATTCCTAAATGTGTTGACTACTATGAAATAATCTACTCGATCAACACAAAACACGTGTGCACCAGCATACTGCGCACATCAAGCATGTGGCTTCCTGGTCCAGAGGCTTTCCCATATCAGCCACACACACAACGTGACATATACTAACATTTGATTCGTCACTGCCGCTATTTGGAACTATAGGAAGCGGCTGTGGGCCAAAATACAGGTGCAACACCACCGATCACGACATCATCCCCTCAGCTTCCAAATGGAGGTAAGTCATTGTATGACCCACTGTTTGTTCTGGCATGATTTACACAGGTGAATGAGCTATGTAATAGGTGTGCATACTCGTAGCTGTGGTTGGCATGTAGTATTCAATACCACTCACTCTATACGCTTACTACGAGAAAGTTGGATTAATCCGAAGATGAACGAAGACTGGTATAGCTATGTTAGGTGCTGTAGATTGGTAGTAGTGACCCCGTTCATATCATACACACAGCGTCTCCGCTTTAACTTTCGAATTCCAAACAATTGGTTTGCAAATGACTACAGGTCTAGCCGAATTTCCAACGATCCCGCATAGCCGGAACAAATTCGTAATTAAGCTTTTCGATACTACTATCAACACAACCAGCAACTCCTGTTTTGATGGAAGGTATGGTAGGCGCAGGCCTTGTACGTTACTACTTCGGTATTCGCCTTTATTCAGGCTTGATGATATGTTGTGTGAAGGGCAACGTTCAGAAAGTGCTCATGTGCGTAGTGGGCAAATACACAATGCAATTATAACCGTAGCCACCTGCCACCTGCCACTATATAACAGGAGACCAGAAGTACCGGGACTAATACATAGTACACCCTAAAACTGCGCGCTCAACACCTTTGCGACTCTTCACATTATCAAGCTTCGCTCATATACTCTTCCTACATTTGATACGGTTCTGATACATGCCGTACAAACAGCCAGTTTACCTCATGCGACAAGGCTATGAAATTCGGGTGGGTTGGAGAACACAGAATCGCGGCTGTCGGCGACAGAGGCCAGTGTCTTGCGAATCTAAGAGGTACAATAGTAACCTACCCGCAGTATGGTTGATGCGAATGACAATACAAATGTTGTCCAGAACCATTTTCATACTTTGGTGCATGCAGCTGACATGAGTATCGAATATACAGTCACATGCAGAATTGCACTGGAATTCACGTTTATTTGTCTGTCTATTACACTATAACAGCGACCAAGGGGACACTTGCGTTGCACTGCGATTTCAAATTGTAATCATTTGCTTACACTTGTGTTAAATTTGCCACCTGCGCACAGATGAAGTAATCTGGACACAAGCAAACTATATCCAACGTGTGTCAACCGGTATACAATTCACAAAGTATACGCAACTATATTGTGAAACGCACACTCAACTGTCCATCTTACAGTCTCTGATACGAATTTAAACCCACAGGTGATAGCACAAACTGTACTGAGAATAGCCAGAACGAAATATTCTGCGGAGGGAAAGATTTCTTGGGTATTGATTTGGTGAACTTCCATCAGGCCAGCAAATGCACACAAGCCCCGGAATGGGAGGTTGCCTTGATACACGCAGTGACAGACAAACCAACAGCCAGAAGAAGCTCTACTGGTATCACTAAGTTACTGGCTAGACGTGAACCCCTGGTAAGAACTGACCGGCGTGTGAATGCGGGAAGAAACGGGTGGGAAGAGAGTATGCCACAGAGGCAAAGGCGGCGCCAGCGTGAGAGTACACAAACACCTCCTGAGGCTCCTTCTACAGATACTTCATCCACAGCATCCACATCTACAGATGAAACAACGACCGTAGACGAGGCTACTACCAGTGAATTTGAACCCGAGCCCACACAATCACCTACAAGCGCACCCTCAGGTGCTCCCACACCAACTCCATCGCCTGAACAGGCCCCCTCACACACACCCTCACCCTCAATTGAGAAGGTGACTGCTACGATCGACAGTACACCGCTACCAACTGTCTCAAGTGATGATGTAACTGCTACTACTACATCAGTGGAGACGGGATCAGAAGCTGCACAAGCAACCTCGGGTATTCAGGTGTGTATAGTCTTGCGTACAAAGATCTTATTCAGGTGACTTTAGACATACATATCAAGGTCGGTATATGGAACAAAGTAGTTCAGAGCGCTTACTATACATTCCGTGAGACCGAGACAGGGAGTCAGACATAACCCGCAACCCAGCATCTCGCACACAACCCACTACTCGCATATCGCTCAGCAAGCTCATATTCATACACCTCATGCATACTATGCTCACACACATGTTGCAGGTGGTCACACTACGAGACAGGAACACAAAAGAGCTGGTGAAAAACAGACAGTACTTTGTGGGGGGCGTTGAAGTGCAGTACCTACTTCTCCGTCGCAGGGCTGAGCGAAACGTGGCGTATCTGGTGCTCGAGGAAGACATTGACGAACAGAGTCAAGCGCGACCGTCGTGATAGATCGAGACGTCGTTAAGTGAAGGTTGTACTTAAGGGGAACTGACTGAATAATAAAGTAGAGTGTGCTTGATGTATGAAAGCCTTATAGAGTAGACGTTCCTTGTGCAAATGCATAGTGCTACATATAGGGGTGCCTTAAGAGATAGTGGATGAGTGTGCCTAATCTGTGCGAGCAAAGAGAATGACGTGTTTGACAATATAGCGATCCGCGAATCTGTGATTGCGGGAGATGTATCACCCTGTGATGGAACACAGATGACAAAGGTGTGGGCACATAAGACATGGTCAGAAGGATCTTATGCAATGCTTGTGATAGAAGCGTCGTGAAACGAACAATCCATGCATCTTGAATATAGACACCAAATGATACACCATTCGTGAAACGAACAATCCAAGCATCCTGAATATAGACACCAAATGATACACCATATATAATGTTTAATAAAACCACTAGATATAGGCAGTTAGGGTTTGCAGATGGCAATACAATAACCTCGCTTGCAAGCGGAGTCGACAATGAACAATGAACCGGTATACAGGACATCATACATACGGCCTACTTGGGTAACCAGGGGAAGGTGGAGTATATTTGAAAGCGAAATGAGCCAACCATGCAGTAGCGAACAAGTGCACCATATAATTTGTCTCTATGTATAATCGGTAAACAGGGTCGCTGTACTGGTAACATGCACGTGGAAAAGGAATAAGATAATTGAGAGACCATCGTGGCTGGCAATCGTAAGGCAGACCGAGCATATGTCAATTGTCATAGCACCAATTAATAAACAATTAAAATATCCTCTGTGTCATCTAAATACTCTATAGCCTCCAATAGTAGGAGGCTACGTAAATACATGTAAATACTACTTTTGTGACGCTTTACCAAAGCAACAAACATATTCACATATTTCGACTTCAGAAGAAAAAAAGGATTCTCCGTACCAGGCTCGAACTGGTGACTTCGGACTTATTAGGTCCGCACTCTAACCAACTGAGTTAACAGAGCTGAAAAGCTGCGAAGATAGAATATATTAATAGTTATAAATACTATTCTACATAAGAGTATCGTTTTTTATTTCAAAATCATTGATATAAATATATACAGCTTTAATAAAAAATGTACCCGTAACCTACTTCGCTAACTATATACATCTTTATAGTGTACTGTATTTATTATTATTCTTCACGGACTGCTGCAAATCAGACAAAATGAAGATTGCGTGCGTGGCTGTGATAGACCAAAACGTATGTTGGCCTGGAAGTAATATAGTCCTAAACGTTCAGTTGCCAGTGTCCCTTTGCTTCTTTTCAATACAAGAATATACTTTCGACTGTTTTGATTGCGAATACTCATTCGTGGAAATTACTATTTCAGTATATATGTATTAGTCGCACGGACCACGAGATTCATATTGTAATCTATATGTGTATATGTATATATATATATATATATATATATATATATATATATATATATATATATATATATATATATATATATATATATATATAT